CAATTTTTAGGTTGACTTAGTTTGATTTTGGCCCTAACATATAAAAATATTGAAAATTGTGACCCTTTGTGAGTGAAGTACAAGAAGGGGTTCGCAGAAATATATAATTTTCACAACAGATATTAAAACTTGAACTCTTTGTGGGGGAAGTACCAGAAGAAATGGTCCGAACTCTATCATCTTTTTAGCTGATCTTGTGTTGATAGAAATATTGAGATGTACCAAGTCTGAATGGAATCGGCTGTTAATTTCGTGTTTTATGAGCTTCCTGCATATTCAAAATTTTGACCTTTTGTGGGAGAGGTACCAAAAGGAGTGGAATATGTCGATATTCCATCTTCAAACCAGACTTTGGGTTCATAAAAATATTGTGATGTGGGTAATTTGAAAACAATCGGACTCTTACATCACATTTTATAAGATTTATAATTATTCAAAATTTTGAGCCGTTATTTCGTTATTTCTATTATTTCGATAAGACATGTAATATATATCTCCAGGCTGAGGGTAAAAAAAGTGGTAAAGGATAACGAACGCTTTACCAGGTTTTCTTGTACGGAAACGGCGTTCAAGTAAACAATTTTAAGAAAGTACAACTTTGAAGGCTCTGTAACGCAAGTACCACGTTAGAAATGTAAAATGTGCGTTACATTCTTTAATTGTTTTTTCACAGAAAAACTTTTTACGGCAAGAGAAGACATAAAGCCTGGTCTTACTTTTCGACCTTTAACTGGGTCATGGTATAACCTCTGACTTGCGAAAACAAGTCGAATGGCACAAATTATTATTGCCTAGACAAATCATACAAATCATAGGATGGGCTTATTATATTGCGCAGAATGTCCTACCCGCCCAGCCATTGAAGATTTTCCAACCAAACATGCATATTGAAAATAATATTTTGCTTTTCAAAATTATTTTAAATTACCCGCCCCCCACCCCCTCTTTTTAATACAACACATACATTGACACCTGTCATTTGTCAATTAAATAATTTTCTCGGTAGTTCACGTTATTGTACATACATATCTACATACATACATCTATATACATGCGATACATATACTATATTTATATCGAACAAACTATTTTGTCTGTTTGATTTGGCAAAAAAATATCATGAATGTAACACCTTGGCTATGGAAACCAACGCGGATGATAGTCAGTTTCATTTCCTACCAAAGGAGGTAACTTCTACGATAAGAAAGCTAATGTTGCCCTCCACGATTACTACCACCTTGGGGCAATTTTTATAACTTTCAAGCATACTGCAGGTTGATTGGTTGATTTTCCCATACGACACTAAGTAGTAACATTATGGCGCTGTAGAATAGATAACAATAGTTTTGTTATTGTTAGAAGTGTGCGAAAGAAGTGCCGCAGATGTGACATCTTTGATGAGGGAGTGTGAAAATAACTTCCAAACGCTTGCTGGGATATAATAATTTTATGCTGATATGAATATTAAACGCAATGACAATTGTGTTACTATGGCAATGCTTTTATTTATTCAAAATATCATTTTGGATTGCAGTAATTTTATGCACCGTGGTGTAGGGAATGGCTTTAGTTTCAAATTTCACTGCATAAAAATTAAGTTTCCATCTCTGATTAGCATATTTACAAGGGATTTAAAATATACATATTTTGACAATAACATGTTGTCAAACAAATAATTTAAAAAAAAAAATAAACATATGTTTGCATGACTTTATCTTTTTGATTCTACTATGAATGGTACAATAATTACAAAGTAGAGCAGAATGATTAAATTTAAAAAACTCAACCCTGAAGCTAGGGTCTTGTAACTTCAAATTTACAAATAACAAATGCAAAAAGTTGTTGTTTTTTATTTGACACTTTTTTCCCAATTTTTTAATATAAAAGAAAATAGCGAAAAAAAACTAATGGGACGCCGTGGATTTTTCACAACCACGACTTCCTAATGCAATTGCAATTCTTTTTCATTCCAAAACAAAAACATTTGTTCTTCTCAAAAGCTGTAATCTGAATTTAACTTTCAACATCATTTAAAAATCGTTTAAATTATTATACCCTCATCCATATGGCTAGAGAGATACCCCCTCTCATTTGATACGGCCAAAACGTGCCTCATCGAAATAAAGCTTTTAGACCCTCGGTCCCTTTGGAGCAAATCCGTTTCAGGACATTTGGAGTCGATTTAGCCATGTTCGTCCGTTCGTCAGTCCGTCTGTCTGTCTGCTTACTGGTGCACACAATAACTCTTGAAGGAAGTATCCGATTTGGTCAAAAATTGGTACATCGTAATATTATTATCAAACTTAGATCGAGTTCGGAGATGGGTAATATCGACCCACTCCTTGTGGTACCTCCACCACAAAAGGTCAACATTTTCCAAAAAAATTATATATTTTACTTCACACAAAGAGAAAGGATGATCCGATTAAAGAAAAAACGATTATTAAATCCGAAATTAGCATCCGGTTCTCTTAATATATCATACATCCCATTATTTCTGCTAAAACAAGATATTCTGTAAAGATGGGATACATCGATCCACTCCTTCTACAAAGGGTCAAAATTGTGAATATCCATAAAGCTCTTAAAACGCGAAATTAACATCCGATTACATTTAGACTTGGCAAAACTCAATATTTTTATCAATCCAAGATCTGTTATAAAAATGGTAGAGATCGGACCATTTCTTGCGGTATCTCCCCACATAGGGCTCAAGATTTAAAAAAAAAGTGGCCCAAGAAAGCGAAATAAGTATCCATATCCATCCATCTTCTCAAATTTCTCACAAACAAACATTTTTGCTAACTGATCAAGATCTGTTGTGAAGATGATCTACGTCTGCCAACTCCTTCTGGTAACTACGAATCAAGTCGGCCATTCTTCACAACTTTCTATTCCTAAATATTTCCCTTAGCCGGTAATCTAATATGAATATATAATTAATTAGAATTTTTTAATTCGTATAAAATTGGATATAAAAGTTCGATGTTTTCTTTAAATATTTTTATAAGTATCTCAAGCATATTTCCACATTTTCCAAAAAATTGCACATATTTCATATAAAGTAGACGAGGTCAAATACGACTTGGACATTATTGACCAACTGCTTCGGAACCTCCCCAAAAAGGGTCAACAGTTAGAATTAACATAACTCAAGGCAGGGGGTATACATCTGTCGGCAAAACCGATTGATACTATTTAACTTGTTTTTTTTTTCTTTCAATAATATGATCGCCTCACATCGCCTCACTTACAGGTTCTGTGACAGAATAATAATGTCACAATCGAAATAACCACCTCATCAGATTCTTTCTTGTGGCGCATCATAAAAAGTTTCTCAAATCCAAGTAGAGTTCAAAGAAGGGCAATATCGGCTATTGTACCCTCTATGACAGGCAATATTTCCCCAAGCAATGTTGTAATAATAACTTATTTTAGAAAATATTTCTTTTGCATTCTTTCCAAAAAAAAAAAAACAAAAACAAAACATAGACAAAAATGTGTGCACGTCCTCCTTTGAACGGATAATTTGGATCATCTATTTTTAAAAGTTGCCAACGTATTTGCCAGATGCAATTTATTTATGATTTTTCATTTATAAAATGCACTTCGCAACAGTTGTTGTTGTTACAAAATTTGTTTGTTTATACATACATACCCACAAAATTATTCATGTATGAGATATGAACGAGTTCACGTATATTAGGGTATTTCACGAATATTTCGTCAAACAACTTGACAGAATTCACAAAAAGTAGTCCAAAGTTTGGATGCTTCTTCTATGAAAATATTAAATGAAATATACTTTCAAAATACTTTGTACATACTTTTGAGTGCGGTTGAGGCGCTGGGAAAATCTAGCAATAAACAATAAATATTCTAAAGTTAGCAATTCGGTGATCTTGTGCGCCGACGCATACGATAATGTGTGAGATAATATTAAATTATGGCCCACACACACAGATATCGATGCGCTCAGTAGATGCACAAGATCACTTGAATGAAATGACAAGCAGCCCTGCAATGTTCTGTCGGACGGACGGACATCTCTAGATCGACTCCAAATACCCTGAATCGGATTTAGTCCAAAGAGTCCTAGGGTCTAAAACAGTTATTTCGATGAGGCATGCCATATGGCTGAGGGTATAAAAAGGGGACGAATTTATTTAAATTGTTTAATTATTTAAATTGATTATATTATATGGATTAAGATGTACAGTAACAATGTCAAATCAGTTTTATAAAGTAAAAATTAAACTATTTTATTAAATATATTATTTTCCCTTACAATAAATCGCTATGGAAGATATCATGCCAACAATTGGCTAGAGGTGCGACTACTGACAAAAAAGCACTAATTTAATAAATTGCATATCTTACAAATTAATTAGAAATTGATTCAATCTTTGTTTATTTTTTCGAAAACTTAACAAAAACTCGAATCTGAATAAATTATCTTTCTTATATTTAAAAAAATCTTTTAATTTGGGGAAAGATTGAAGAACTAAAAATCCTAAAAATGCCGGATACTGGTACACTTAGTTATGTTAGCATGAGATAATATCATTATCCATGTCATGCCTTCTTATTGTTTGACCATTTCATTAGTTTCCGAAAGAAATATATTTACGGAAATCATTTAAATTTTTATCTGTCCCTTAACTTTTCCCATGTGAAACAAGTAAAACATCCATACTGCCGCTTCCAGCTACAAACGAAACACCCCATGGTATATATTTATATACAGTATTGTACAGAATAACCGTTCTTTATGCTCATACGCACATACATACACGTTTACACACACGCACACTCAAACACACACATGGATTTGCATGTTCACATGTGTGTGTTTATTTAAAAACAAACAACAAGAACACCTAAGCAACCTAAATGTGAAGAACTGCATGCGAACAAGTTACTCTCTTTTGTTGCTTCGTTTTCTGGCGAATGTGAGCCCCGACATTCTTTGCCAATGACTTTGGTCATTTGTACGGTTTCGTGTCTCTAGTGAAGCGGTAGCTTTCGCAAGGTGGAATAACAACAAAAATTCAATTTAAATCAACAGCAAAGGCAGTGGTGAGTGAATGAATGCATTTGAGAATTGCGATTGCTACCATCGGGGCGTATGATTGACGCCGAGTAATTTCCACAGTTGCGGACGTATACGCAACAAGTGTCAGCGAAAGGGTAAAGCAACTGTGCCGGTCGGTCAATCAGTTATTACGAAAGTGTGACAAATGTCAATTGCATAATTGTATGTTGGAATATCTAACAATATAATTGACGTCAATTTTAATTTTGCTTGATCCCAAAAAAATTCTAAATTCTAAAAAAATATATACGAAATGTTAGTTATTAACGAAATTTTTTAGTAAACTTTAAAAGTAATTGCTAACCTAATACATACACAGGACAAATTGTCTTGCACGAGAAACACTAATTCGATTCGATTGCGATGTAACGGCAAGGGTGAGGGTACATAAGTAGATTGAAGTCTTCGTATTGCATTTTGTATTTTATGTTCGTAATGGATACCAATAACTATACATATAGTTCCTCCTTTTTATATAGCACCCATTACCCCGGTAGCTCCTAAAATTAGATATTTAGATTATTGTTTTCGTAGTTAGAGATTGTAATGAGTTCTACGTTCTGTGGTATAACATTATCAATAAAGGACCACGTTTTCTAATAGCTCCCATATATCGATACAGTGCGATACTCTGTATATTTGGATGATGTAAGCCACATTTTAATTGGATTTGTTTTGAAATTCGGTATTCGTTGTTCGTAAGGGGTCCATCCATGGTGGAGGGCCACTGTCTATGTCATCTATGTCTGTATTCATATCCTCAGTCATGTGGCTAGAGAGGATATTCAGGGTGAGATAAAAAACTGCAACTGCAGACACCATAGTCCAACTGATTGGTATCCGGAGATTTTGGTGGCCATTGTGCGCTGGAAATTAAGAGAGGAACCTCATTTTGTAAACATTCTTGGGTGGCGCGTGCTGAGTACGATGGCGCTGACTCCTCTTGGAATGTCCAAGGTCTGCGGCCAAAATGTTTGCGTGCCCAAGGCTTTAATACACCCTCCAGATTATTTTCGCGATAATATTTGGCATTTATTCTGATGCCACGGTCGATTAATACGAGAGGAGAGCGACCATCGGTTGTTATGGCGGCCCACACCATCACCATGGCCGGCGCCTGAGTTCTGCTGGCCAACCGAAGGTGCACATTTTCTTTGGCAAATTAAAAGGATCATTTTGTTTGTTTACAAACTGCTGGACAACGAATGTTTTCTCATCGGAGAAAACCAAATTCGGCAGTTCACCATTTTCAGCAAAGCGAAGCAAACTCTTTAGCTCTATTTTCTCACTGTTGCGGTGTAGGTTCTTGTACTTTTTGGAATTTAAATGTGTTTATTCCGAAATCATTTTTCAATATTTGCCGAATGGAATATTGCGATATGTTCGGCTCACAAGCCATTTTCGGCCACTGCGACGCGAGTTTCGATCAAGTCGCTTCTTTACTTTTCGAACCGTTTCTGCTGATGTTGCTGTTTTCTTCCGTCACTTCCTTGACGTCGGACTACGCTACCAGTTTCACGGTAACGAGCGATGGTACGAGACACAAAAGATTTATTCACATTTAAATGCTGGAGTGCTCTAACGATAGCCACTTGTGGTTTTCAAGCCAAATATAAAGAAATCACACTATCACGCTTGAATTCCATCACGAATAACTTTTTTTTCTAGAAAATTCTCATCAAATAAACAGCTGTCAGACGAGTGGCTTAGGAATGACAGCAGTCTGAAGTTGGTCGCAGTTTTTTCATCTCACCCTGAATATCATTTGATACGTCCAAAAGTGCCTCATCGAAATAAGGGTTTTAAACCTAGGTCCCTCTGAATCAAATCCGTTTCAGGACATTTGGAGTCGATTTAGCGATATCTGTGTGGCTGGCGGGTGTACACGATAACTCTCAATGGGAGTACCTGATTTAGTTCAAACTTGATACATAGTAATATTATTATTAAACATAGATAGAGTTCGGAGATGGGCAATGTCAGTCCACTCCTTCTGATACCTCCCACACAATAGGTAGAAAATTTCAAAAAAATATTTTACTACACAGATTTTGCTCCAACTTTCTCCAACATCCTAATATTTGCATCAGTAATATGCCATGTGCGAAAATAGACAAAATTGGTCCACTAACTGAATTTTCCAACTGATTTCACTGAAATTGCAGTTCGAAATGGATCTTATTCGAATATTAAATTACAACCTCATTGAGGGGTGTATTATAATTTCGGTCAAACCGAATTTAATGTTTTCACTATGTATACGTGTTGCTTTATAATTGTAATTTTATTGTCTAACAATTTTCCACCACCTCTAAAAATACATCCATAAATGCCTTTCTGCCTAGGGCCTGTTTCTGTATAACGATACGAAAATGAACACGAACCGAATATCATTCATGAATATTTTTTAAATAGAATATAAATTAAAAATTTAAAAAGCATACAAAGAATGGGTGTTTCGAGTTCACATTCGAATCGTCGTACAGAAAAGACCACTAGCATTTGCCTTTTTTTAAATATAACTCTGAATAATTTAACATTTCTTTTTTTCATTTTCTTGCAGACAATATGGACATGCTGTGATCTATGTTAGAAAATCGAATCTGCTATCATAGGAAACCAAGACTATTTTTACACCGCTACCATTAGACAACTAATAGGGAAAAAAGAAGCTACAAAATGAAAATTCTAACAGTGCACTTAACCAAAATATTCGATGCCAAATGGTTGCCAGCAGCCTGTGGTACTTTAGCCCCCGCCTTGATACCGCCCGCACACATGGCCATTTTATGGTATTTTTGGGAGAATTACGCCCGTTACGTGGATAAGCATTTTTGTACCTGCTCCTGTTGGGACACCGTGTTCAAGGGTCCCTATGAATCGGGCGTGGCCGCCTACAAGCACATGTATTTTAATGCCACACAGAACACCTTTAAAATGTGGCTGCTTACCGTTTTTGCCGTCATCGGACTGTATGAGTGTATAAAGCGTTTAATTGTCCTGATAATGCAACAGCGGGTGCGCTACTCAATGTTGATGCTGTTCAGTTTGTCAATATTCTCGCATTATTATGCATGGTGGGCGTATTTGAACTACTACAATGACGATTACTATCAACAATGGAATCATCAGCTATTTTTTACGGTATGCGTATATAGTAGATCTCCCGTAACAAAAAAAACTATGAATTATATCCAACTCTAAATCGACTTTCAACAAATTGAGGTTTTTGTACCTCTAGTACCAAACAACTTTAAAAAAATATTTATTGGAGTAATGGATATACCGGGCCGAGTTTCTCCAAATAGAAAAATTCGGTTGAATATGAAAAAAATCTATCCAATTTACACTGACATTATATACACGGTGAGATAAAAAACTGCAACAAAGTCAAACGCCATAATTTTCACATTTTTTTTAAATTCTATTGAATGAGAGCAAAAAATGTCGGAAATAGCATCAAATTTTAGAATAACTTTAGATTTTTTCGATTTAGTCACCTTTGGCACGAATTATGGCCTTCAAACGGCCAATGAAACCGTCATACGCTGCCCAAATGTTACTCTGAGGTATTTTGACCCATTCCCGGCTAAGCGCTTGCTTGAGGTGATCGACACTTTGGTATTTTTTAGTGCCAACCTTGCTTTCCAAAATTCTCCAGACACAATAGTCCAACGGATTGATATCCGGAGATTTTGGTGAACATTGTGCGCTGGAAATGAAGCGAGGACTCTCATTTTGTAACCATTCATGAGTGGCGCGATAATATTTAGCATTTATTCTCATGCCATGGTCTATTAATACGAGCGGAGAGCGACCATCGGCTGTTATGGCGGCCCACACCATCACCATGGCCGGCGCTTGAGTTCTGGTGGCCAACCGAAGGTGCAAATTTTCAGCTGACCTCTTTGGCAAGTAAACACGATCATTTCGTTTTTTTACAAACTGCTTGACAACGAATGTTTTCTCATCGGAGAAAACCAAATCCGGCAGTTCACCACTTTTGGCCAAGCGAAGCAACTCTTTAGGTCTTTTGAGTCTATTTTCTTTCTGTTGCGGTGTAAGTTCTTGCACTTTTTGGAATTTCAATGGCTTTACCCCGAGCTCATTTTTTAATATTTTCAATATTTTTCGGCCACTGCGACGCGGGTTTCGATCAAGTCGCTTCTTTACATTTCGAACCACTTCTGCTGATGTTGGAATAATTTTTACTGGAATAATTTTAACAGCTTTCGGACGAGTGGCTTAGAAATGACAGCAGTCTGAAGTTGGTTGCAGTTTTTTCATCTTATCCTCTATATACTTTATGGGGTCTACGACGAATTTTTAGAGATGTTGCAAACGGAATGACAAAATTAATATACCCTCCATTTCAAGGTGGAGGGTATAAAAATAGCAAAGAAATAATTGAAGTACATTTCCAGGTTAATATGAGAACCTGAATAAAGGTAAAGTAAGTTGTTATAAAATATCTTTCGTATGAGATTCAGCACGTTACATTCGTTTGTTTACAAAACAACTGATTATTGAACAGCTGATGTCACTTACATTTGTTCTTCCTTTCCTTTATTCCCATTTCAGTTAACCGAAATCATGGCCTCTGTCATGGTTATGCACTTAGCCGATAGTACAAATCCGGTGACAACGAAGAAAGTCTTCTGCATTGTCGGCGTTGCGATACTGCACATTGTGGCCAGCAGTTTTGATCAATTCTTTCTGAATGTGGTACGCGGCGAAGGTTATGCTCATCAAATTGTACGCGATATTGGTTTCATGGTGCCGGACATTATGCAATTGGTCATACCGCTATGGCTGCTGAACCGCATACGCAAAGAATCGTACAGCACCCGGCCATTCTATCGTGATCGAAGCCTGCACAAGGACATCGTCGCAATGATGTTCTTCGTGATAGCCCTGTTTGCGATTTGTACGATTTTGTGAGACTTACTTTACGATTGGTACGCCAGAAGCTATTATATACATGGACCACATCGGAATCCAGCCTTATTGGACCACAATGGAGGAGGTGATGAGGAGGATGATAGCGATCATATAATTTGAAGTGATCGACAACGAAAAGAAAACAAAATCAAGAGCAATGTTTATTAAATCAAATAAAGCAACAAAGAAAACGAAAGTCGTCAAGGCAACGAAACGAAACGACATGAGTTGCTCGGTTAAATTTACTCAAAATCCGTTGTGCTTTTACATGTCAAGTGAGTACAATGTAGGCTATTATCTCGGATCGAAAGTAGACAAACTCAAAGTAGATACAGAATCAATCATCTGACGAAGCCTCTTAATTATAGTGTGTAAATATTGTTATTAAAATTTAGAACTAAAAACAAGAGAAGAGAAACAAATTAGAATAGTAATATATTTATGTAATAAACACTACACATACATACGTATGTATATACATATATACATACATATATCATTTAGATGAACATTTAGTGCAAATAGTGCATATCAATGTTATCTACATATATACATACGAATATTTAGACACCATCAATACATAGATACATATATTTTAGAATATATTTTTTAAATTATTATTAATAATTAATAGGAACACATTGTGAAAGTATTGTAGTTTATAAATCAAAATCTCCAAATTATAGACTTTAAAGCCTTTTTCGTATGGTAGAAGATCAATGCAAGCATTATTTAGAAAATTAACAGCGTGGAATTCGTTTTTATTAATTATGATTACTTTAGTTAATATCTTTAACAAACGCGCTGCAATGTGCGTTTCTTCCAATCATTGATTTTGAATACAGTTTGTTTTTAATTTTCTGAATAATAAATAAGAACTCAAAATTGGAAGAAGTTGGCCACAAACAGAAAAAAAAAACGGTAAAGAAAGTCATAAAGTCGGGCGGGGCCGATTTTATGATACCCTACACCACTTTGCTAATTTAGTAGAGCTGCACATAACAATTAAAAGTTTTTATGGGAGAATTCAATCATACACGCTATGATTATAAGTATAATTTAAAGTTCAAAGGACTAAATATGTCGAAGCATATGTTTCTTTTAAATTCGGACTTATATTGCCCATTTGGTGCAAAATTAATTTGAAATCAGATAAAGATATATATGGAAGATATATCCAAATCCGAACCGACCTCGATAAAATTTAGCAAAGGTATTTCTGAGCTGCATTTGATATATTTTCCCAAATATTGTTGTTATAGAGTGCATATTACGGCTGCGGAAGACAAAAATAACAAATCGGATGAACAATATATATGGGAGCTATAGCCATATCTGAACCGATTTCGATCAAATTTGGCATACTTATTTTCAGGATTAATTTGGTTGTATGTGCAAAATTCCATACTATTCGGGCTGATATTACACGTTTGGTGCACAATAAAAGGCAAATCGGACGAATATATATATGGGAGCTATATCTAAATTTTTACCGATTATCTCCAATTTCAATCTCCAATTCGTTCTTGGGTCAAACAAATGTTGTTTGGAAAATTTCATCTCAATCGGATAATAAATGCGACCTGCATTTTGTTCACACGAATACATGGACAGACGGACTGACATGCATAAATCAACTCAGAAAGTGATTTTATGCAGATCATCAAAAGGAACTATGGGTCTATCTCCTTTCCTTTTGCCTGTTACAAAACAAATGTACAAAGACATAATATCCTGACCATCTTGTGGTGTAGGGTATAACAAGTAAAAAGCTATAAAGGTGAGAATACATAAAACGTTTTGACTGGCTTTAGTCATCGGCTGGCTTCTTCGGAAAATAACAAAGGAGCGTGGGGCCAAAATCGATCTAAGCCAATCTAAAACTCCTTCGTTTCTCTACGAAGATGACTTAAACCAGTCAACAAAGTGTTTTATGTATTCACACCTTAACTTTGAATACCCCCACCATTTGGAACGAATTTAGAAATTTTCAAAAGAAGAAAATCCTTTAAAAATTCTGTTAAAATCTTAAAAATATAGTCATTATATTTGGGTGTAAATCTAAAATAGAACATTTCGAGAGAAAAAATTTTACAGTTTTTTATTAAGTGTTTGCAAATTTCTTACCGGACAATATGTTATACCCTTTAAAAGGAGGGTATATTAACTTTTTCTTTCCTATTGTAACATCCCTAAACATCCTATTGTAACAGCCAAGCGTGCCGGAAGCTGCAATTAGAGAATTCGAGGTCCCCGTAATAATCATACCCTCAATTTTTGTTGTGTAGATTTTATACCCTCCACCATAGTATGGAGGGTATATTAAGTTTGTCATTCTGTTTGTAACGAAATATACATTTTAGACCCCACAAAGTATATGTATTCTTGATCAGCTTAAAATTCTAAGACGATTTAGGGATGTCCGTCCGTCTATCCGTCTGGCAGTGTGTAGAAATCACTCTTGCTTCCGAGCGAAATAAAGTGGGTTGATAAAATTTTACTCAAATGTATATTATGTCTGACTATTGGTATTGAAAATGGACCATGTAGGTTCACGTTTTGGTACAGCCCCCATATAACGGTACCTCCCGATATTCGGCACTTTGATGATTTTATAGATATTATTCGTCGGAATTGTTTCAAATTTGGTGTTCGAAGTTGGTAATGCATACTACAGCCTATGACAGAAGATTGTCTGTGCAGGTCCGTAGTATAGCCTTCGTATAGCCCCCATATAGAGGCACTTCCCGATATTAGGTATTTTGATGATTTTAACGACATTATTCAGCGGAGTTGTTTCAAATTTTGTATTTGAAGTCCGTAATGGATACTACAGCCTCAGACAGAAAATAGTCTGTGCAGGTCCACGTTTTGGTATAGCTCCCATATAGTAGTACCTTTTGATTTTGATGATGCAGGTGCACGTCGTCGTATAGACCCTAATATAACGGCTACATTCGGTATAAACAATTCAATTCTAAAACATCTGTATTTTGAAAATCGCAAACCTAATTGCTTTGTTTATCAGGTCACTTTCAATTTTTGTGTGCTTCATTTCTTTTTATGGAGAACAAATTATTTTGTTTTGATAAATCAGCTGATTGCTTTGAGGTTTTTGTAGCGGTTCCGTCTGTTTACTTTTTACAGTTTTGTTGGAAATGAGAATTAAAACACCTTCATATCTCAGATAAAAGCTGCTTAACAATTCGTGCAGGAAAAGGCAAACCTAATAAACATACCTTGGATCTATCCTTAAAAGTACGCTACATACAAATGTTTGTCCGGGGTAAACCTAATAATTGACGTATCACCATGGTAGAAGAATATAGGTGAACATAGTACAATAAAAAGGTAAGGAAGAACTACCAGCTGATTACAATTTTTTCTAAGTGTGTCCGACTTCTGCCATTTTAGTGTATGTGTTTATTGTTTTGAAAAACAAAAAATCAATGATTTTTATATTTTTTCTTATACGACGTCTTTCAGAGGCTATTATAGGGTAAGTGCGCCCAACTTCGGCATGTCCCAGTAGTCGGCAGTTTTGAAATTTAAACTTAACTAAAAATGGAATTGACCAAATAATTAAATAATTGCAAAAAAAGGCAACAGTGTTCCTATTCTTGATTTTCTACCTATATTTGGTTTTGAATGATAATTAAATAAAACAATATTTAAAAACGAAATTAGTTAATTAAACAGTGAATTATTAATATAGCATTGTCTTATACTATTTGAAATAAAAAAATATACAAAATAATATTTTTTTTACTGAAATACCATATGCCGACTACTGGCAAATGGACATGCCGATCATTGGAAAATGGTGCCGACTACTGGCAAAAAACTACTATAAAATTGCAAATTTTGCCAATTTAATAAAAACAAATTCAATTTTTGTTTATTATATCGAAAAGTAAACAAAATTTGGAATCTGAACAACTTTATTTTTCTGCAATTGAAAGATTTCACTCAGAATGTCGAAAGATTGAAATATTGAAAAGCCTAAAAGTGCCGACTACTGGTACACTTACCCTAATTCGGGTTTTCAAAAATTTTTACAACTTTTAAATAATTTTTCATTCAACATTTTCAATTCCAAAATTGGTTTGGCAGTTCAATGTCTCAGCAGCTGTGTCGACGCTTCTACCTATACCTACATTGATATGTCAAAAGTTTTTTCATAAATAAAAATATTTTTATGTGTTTTTTTTGTAAGAAGTCAATCGGTGGTTGTTATGACATGCATTTTTCAACAGATTTCAACGAATTTCAATAATATTTATAATTTTTTTTATAATTTTTTTGACAGTTCATTTTCTCAGCAGCTGTGTCAATGTGACTACCCGTATTCTTCTACCATGACCACAGATAACTGAAATGTTCTTTTTTAATTGAAGACATAATTTTTGGAAAACTGAATCAAACAAATTAACTTATACCCACCAGGAATTGTTTGTTATAGGAAATTTATTAAAAACACACAGAAACCATACATTGCTGTAGTAGTATTAAATAAACCATTAAATTATAATTATTGGTATTAAATTTAAAAGTATTAAAGTAAGTATTTAATACACAAACAAAATAATTTTGATAATTATTATAGTAAATATATACATATATTCATACGTATTTATAGAATATAAAAATATATATAAACAAAAATACTTTTTTTTTAATATAGGAATATATTATAATTTTTATTTAGAATTAAAAATACATATATACCATAAAGCAACAAATGAAATATGGTTTATATTCGATACATACATAAGAACAATTTCAAATATTTTTCAATGTGTCAAATAGAGTGTTATTATATTACTTTATGCATGGAATTAGCAATTTAAATCCACTGGGTCTTCTAAATCTCGTAAACTGCAAACCTACTATTAAAGTACCCAACAAAGTATACATATTCTTGATCAGCGTAAAATTCTAAGTTGATTTAACGTCCGTAATAAATGTCCGGTTTTCTTTTAACCTTGCACATCTCAATATTTCTAACAGTATGAGACGAAATTTAAAACTGGAATAAATGGTTAAACCTTTTCAAAAAAAAACACATCCCATGTAAAGTGGAGGAAGTAGTATATATAGCGCAAACTTAACACGTCTTAATATTTATATTCGGCTTAGGTCAGATGCGAAGTGGCATTACTGATCCACTTCCTCATTACATTACTGGTACTTCCTCCATAAAGGGTCACCATTTTGGATAATCATAGCGAAAATCAAAATATATTTAAATACATGGATATAGACTGTCGACAAAACCGTCTGCTATTTATATCCTACACCACGAGGTGGTCAGGGTATTATGTCTTTGTGCATTTGTTTGTAACAGGCAAAAGGATCGAGATAGACCCATAGTTCCTTTTGATGATCTGCATAGAATCACATTCTGAGTCGATTTATGCATGTCCGTCCGTCCGTCTGTCCATGTATTTTTGTAAACAAAGTACAGTTCGCATTTATTGCCCTATCCAGATGAACTTTTGCACAAATCATTTGTTTGGCCCAAGGACGAACCCTATTGAACTTGAAATAATCGGCCAAAATTTAGATATAGCTCCCATATATATCTTCGTCCGATTTGCCTTTTATTGTGCACCAAACGTGTAATATCATACAAACAAATTAGGCCTGAAAATAAGTATGCCAAATTCGATCGAAATCGGTTCAGATATAGCTATAGCTTCCATATATATTTTTCATCCGATTTGTTATTTTTGTCCTCGGCAGCCGTAATGTACACTCTGTAACAACAATATTTGGGGAAACATATCAAATACAGCTCAA